CCAAATACGCGGAGTTTACTTAAATACTATAGAAAAAATTAGCGAGGTACGCACCGCACATAATTTGAAGTTCACACCACAATTTCTTGACAAGTGTACAATCGAGAAATATTCCCATTTGAAAAACATGAGCGACATCCTGTCTTATGATGCAGAACCTCCGCAGTTGGTCATTGGTCTAGACAACTGGGAGCTAATAATCACGCGAGAGTTTAAAAAGGGCGAGCCCGGTCAACCCGTGGCTTCGAATACGAAATTGGGATGGGTACTACATGGTGTAGACATAGGTAGTGCTGAACCTATACACTACCTAAGCGCATGTGTGCAAGAAGATATGGTCTACAAGACAGCGGCCAATGAAGGAAATCGTAAGAGCGTCGCAAGAACACCCACGCCCACTCAGACCTCTCGAAATAAGAAAAGGCGGTCCAAACGTAACAGCGCAGAAAGAAAAAGTGCTTGCTTCGACTTACGAGATAACAAACGCGAAGTCATAGCTCCAGGAAGAGAGCAGCCGTCACTGACGCGAAAAGCGTATAGTTGGCCGAAGTTAAATGTTATGACCGGAAGAACTCCGGATGTTATTAGGCCAAAGTATAATTTATGGCGACAAAAGTCAAATATGGAAAAATGTTGGCGGCCATCAAAGCGACGTGTACGAGAATACTACACAGATAGTGTTATTCGTAGCAAGCAACGAAATAAACTAGGCACCGTTTCGAGCATTGTTACAGCCGAACGAGTGATACCGCAACGTTACGGACCGAGAAATAACGCTATGAAAAGCGACGATTTAAGAAAAGTACAAGAAACATGCGTTATCTGTAAGCATCGTTTCTAACGGGCAAGCGGCGGTACGAACAAGATAATCAGAAAACTTGATGTCGTTATGGAAAATGGAATACTTCGGCTTAAAGGACGAATCGACGCAATACACGGCGTAACGAGGGACTACAAGCAGCCTATCGTGCTGAATAGTAAAAATCAGAATCATACGATTAATTATTGAACACTCTCACTGCCGATTTAATTACGCCAATCATGCGACAGTTATCAACGAACTGAAATAACGAATCGATGATTATGGCATTAAGAAGATTCGCCGTCCACAGGGAAATGCCGAAGATTATGTACCGCGACAACGGAACTTATTTTGTATGCCCAATGTATTTTGTAAGGAGGTGT